GAGGAGACGGGCCTGTGGGACCTCAGTGTGGGGAGTGGGTGAGGAGACGGGCCTGTGGGACCTCAGTGTGGGGAGTGGGGAAGGAGATGGGCCTGTGGGACTGCAGCGTGGGGAGCAGTCTGCACCAAAGGTAGACACCTGAGAATCTTCAGCTGACCGATAATATCTAGAACCAGGGTGCCAGGTGAGACCCCCTGGGAGAGCTCACGGGAGAAAGTGGAATGGAGAAAAGGTGATGTCTTCAGTGTGGTAAGGTCTCCAAGAGTTAACAGTGAAGAGGAGGAGAAGGGGCACGGCTGGCAATGGCTGTTGAGAAGACATTGCTACTATTTGTGGCTTCCCCAGCGAGGAGCAGGCTGGAGGCAGAAGAGTCAAAGGGGCACTTTCCTGGAAGGGGACCAGGCAGAACAGTTGTCTCTCTCTTAACCCTGCGCCTGGCATCAGTGGCAGCCTCAGATGCTCAGGACCAGAGCTGAACATGGGCTGCGTGCTGGCTACTTTCCAGCGCCTGACATCACAGAACTTCCAGCTTACTTTGTGAAGTTCTGTCACATGTTTAAAAGAATTTGGAGAATTTGCTAATGCTAGTAGAGCCATTCCTTGGATTTGAATTTGGGTCCGATAACTAATCACCAGCTTATATTTTCTGAACTATTCAAGATACAATCACTCAGTAAAATAAATAAGTAATTAACAAACAAGTAAGATTGACTTTTTATAGAAAACCCAAAAAACCTTGGAATTCCTTTCTTACTGCCAAAGAGATTATTCTTACACTAAGTTCCAGAAGGGTTATGACTCGTTTTTTCAATCTACTGTTTTCCTGAATTGCATGACTTCATCAGAAACTCCCATTAGTCAAACCAATGTCTGATTCTGCTACGTAACCTTGTTTGGAAGAAAAAAGAAATTTTCTGTGGCCCTTAGGGTCAGCAGTTAAGTAACATGTACATGGTCTCAAAGTATTTAAACCCAGTCCTCAAGGACCCCAAAGTCCATTGTAGGGGTCTGAATGTTTATGGTCCCTCGATTTTACAAGTTTTTACATTTTTCATATTTTAAACCCTAACTCTCAAGGGGACGATATTAGGAAGTGGGACCTTTGGGAGGTGAGTATGTCGTGAGGATGGAGCTCTCCTGAGTGGAATTAGTGCCCTCATAAAAGAGACCCAGAGACCACCTTGCCCCTTCCCTATGTGAGGGTGCAGGGAGAGGCTGGCAGTTTACACCCCAACTCGGGCTCCCCCAGCATCTGACCAGGCTAACACCTCAGCCTGGACTTTCCAGTGCTACTGTGGGAAAAAAAGGTCTGTTGTTTATAAGCATTTTGTTACAGCAGGTGGAATATGGGCTAAGACACACAACCTCCTTCCCCCAACCCTTTGCTAATCCCTAAGAAGCTTCACTGAGACGGGGGTTGGAAGGTAGCAAGATTTTCAATTTACTAATGTTAAAGGTATAATTCATTTTTTAAAAATAGCAAACAAAATCTTAACAACATGAAGAAAAATAAAGTGGCACTTTAAACTCTTCAGAATGACTTGGTTCTCATATTTTCTGAATGCCTTTAACATGAGTTAACTAGTCTTCTTTTACCAGGAAGAATCCAGAGGTGCAGTCCCGAGCTGGCTGTTCATGGCACAAGCCGTCGGAGGGTGTCCCTGGGCACTTGTTCTTATAATCAAGTGGCTGTTGATTAAAGCAAAAATCGGTAAGATATTTCTGTAAGCTACTCTGTGGAAGGATCTGTGGTTTAAATTCTGTGCTACAGATTAACTGTATATTTGTGGTAAATGTTCTGCTAGGCTTTTTGTTTGTTTGTTTTGTTTTGTTTTTTGAGACAGTCTCAAGCTGTCACCCTGAATAGAGTGATGTGCCATCATAGCTCACAGCAACCTCCAACTCTTGGGCTCAAGCGATCCTCTTGCCTCAGTTTTTCTATTTTTAGTACAGACAGGGGTCTCACTTTTTGCTGAGGCTGTTCTCGAACCCATGAGCTCAAGCTATCCACCCACCTCGGCCTCCTAGAGTGCTAGGATTACAGGTGTGAGCCACTTGGTCCGGCCCTTCTAGTTGGTTTTTTATAGTTAATTTTCTGTCACTTAAGTGGATGAGTCTGGTTCTATGTCTGTAACTATTACGTGTTTTATTTAGTTTATACTGATGATTAATATATAAGCGTCCAATAATTTCATTGTCTTCTTAAGAAATTGGCTAAGTGCCGTGAAGATATGTCTTATATCTCCAGTGTGCTGTAGCAGAGGAGTATTGATGAATGAATTCGGCAGTGCTCATAATGGTTGGCGTTATTTTTTTTAATTAAAATCTTATTTTTAGCTTTCTGGCCCATTTGCTTCTGATCAAAGAAGATCAAAGAAGCAAAGAACAAACAGATAAATAAGATAAGAGAGAGGAAGAGAGAATTTGTTTTTGTTCTAAAAATAAAAATAACTTTTTATTTTGAATGAATCTTCAGTATCTCCTTAGATAATTTCTTTACCAATTCCTGTTTATAGCATTTCATCCAAGCAATATCATAATTACCTAAGAAAGACTTTCAATGGAAGCTTTATATCACATCTGAAAATTCAGTGTGAACCTTTAATTCTGAGATTCTTTCATCAACAGTTACTGAGTCTTACTGCTAATTGTTAATTGCTGAATAATTGTCATACAGGATGTCCATAAAATAGTTGTCTATTTTATATTGCACACATGAATTTTATGGACAACCTGTGTTTTTTAATACAAAGGCTTCTGGAGAGTAGCAGATGACTTGTCCTTTAATAAAGGTTCAATATGGTATCTGGTATATAGTAAACAATAATTCATGAAAACAGGAATATACTCATAGAATTATATTAGCATATCATGTAATGGTCCATCCACCCAAGGGTCTTAGGTTTAGAAGAAATGTCAAAATTTGGCTTGGTAAGACTGAACTTCCATTCTCGATGTCAACTACAGACATACTAAAGCCTTTTAATGTTTTCCCCTTGATATAAAATAATGTTGTATATTATATATACCTTATACCAAGAGAAGGAATTATTTCTAGATATACCTCTAAAGTTTGCAATTTTTTTTTTTTTGAGACAGAGTCTCACCATGTTGCCCTGGGTAGAGTGCTGTGGTGTCACAGCTCACAGCAACCTCAAACTCTTGGGCTTAAGCAATTCTCTTGCCTCAGCCTCTCAAGTAGCTGGGACTACAGCCACTTGTCACAATGCCCAGATATTTTTTTTGTTGCAGTTGTCATTGTTTTAGCTGGCCGGGGACGGGTCCAAACCCGCTAGCCTCAGTGTATGTGGCTGGCATCGTAACCTCTGTGCTATGGATGCTGAGCCTGCAATATCTTTTTGAACTGTCTTTTTTATTTCTTGGTCTGAGTATTGAAGTAGGCATTACAAATCCTAACACTGATGTAGACAAATGTGATTTGTTCTGGGAAGCCCTCTTGAGCAGTCCGGTGAATAACTTGCATATAAGAAAGGCTGTTTTTTCCTGGAACTCTGCTGCTGAATGCTCTTCCAAATCCACTTTCTCACCACTTTCCTCTGTGTAGTCCTGTTATGGGAAAGATGCATCTTTTCATTCAAACGTGGTTGGGCTCCAGCCTGGCTGCGCTGCTTTCTGTCCTCACTGAGCGTCACCGAGATGGCAGAGCAGGGCGTGTCATCTACATTTTCATGATCCGAGGGGGTTGATCTCACCCTGCTCCTGGACCTGCCCAAGCCCTCAGTTTCTCAGTAGGTTCATGACTGCCACCTGAGAGCTGTTTGTATCTTACCGCAGACGTGTGCTCGAGAGGAGTCGTGACGGCAGAGCCTTCCGACAAGATTTTACCTGGCTCAGCTGTCAACATCTCCTGCTCCTTGAAGCCCAACCAAGGCTGTTCACACCGCTCCAGTTTCAACAGGTTGATCCTCTACAAATCTGACAGGAGAGTCAGTTCAGGTTCCCACCGGAGTCGCTCCCTGAGTTCTCGGTTCACGGACCTCCCCCTGGGCGGAACCGAGTTTAACTGCAAGCTGGCCTGCCACGACGGTACCGAGGTTCACGTGTGCGGAGTGACGATCTTGGTTGGAGGTGAGCGGTGTGTTCTGAATCGTGAAAGCTGGCGACCTTCTGGCGTTGGTCAGGTTGAGCAGAAAGCCAAATACAAAGCAGGGTTCTTTCTTTTCCTGCCACATAAAACATTCTCATATCTTGGTACCAACACAGGTACCCCCATGTGAGAAGTTTGTACTCAATAGAGTTGGGGTCTTCTTGGAAATCTCTCTCTCACCGTTAAAGCCTTTCATATGTTGTCCTTGGCCTCCAATGGCAGGAAACTGGGTCTCTGCAGTTTTTTTTTTTCACTTCATATAATTTGTTACAACCTCCTACAAAGAATAGAGAGATGTCTCTCCATAAATTACACAGCCCAGGATGACTACACAAGGCTGAGCAGCACCTCCCTCCCTAACTTAATGCACAAAATGTGGTTCTTCCACCCACGCTGGCTCCAGACCACTGCTTATCATACATAGCAGAGGAGAAAAAAAACATTGGTCAGACTCATTATCTGTTCCTAGGTTCTCTAGAAAATTGCCTGAAGTGAAACCATCATATAACTCTTCCTGGGGGGAAGGGGAATTGGACAGTCCCAGGGAGACAAGAGAGAGGGGTGAGCCGGGAAAGAGCAGATGCAGGTGGTGACACATTGTTCACTGAGGGGCATTGCCAACCTCTGCAAGGTGAACTCACCTGCCTGCAGGTACTGCCGGTGAGCCAGCAGGACACATGGGCACTGGGCAATTGATTCTGTGGCTGCCTTTGCCTCTGGGGTTCCAGGGAAGTTCTGGAGTGACAGGCAAAAGGCAGGAAGAGACACCTGGGCTGGCCGGCCAAGCCATATGGACTCAGTGTCTGTTGTAAGGCAGGGATAGAGCTCAGTGAGACACTTCCCAGGAAAGAGGGACACTTCTCTGGGACCTGTGAGGTTGGCCCAGGCAGTTTTCCTAGAGGCCTTGGGAGCAGGGAGCAGCGGACCAGGCGGTGGCTGTTGGGGAGGAGGCACGGCTGGGTCTGCACTCCTCCGCCTGCTCAGGGCCTCCTGTTGACCCCACTCAGATCATGTCCCTTCAGCTTCGACGGCCTGGGGTGCAGCAGAAGGAGCAGAGGCTCTGAGCCCTCACCCTTCCAAGAGCATGGCACCTTTTTACAGCTTTGGTTCTCTCAGCCTCAGTTTCTCCACTGGTATCATGAAAAGGTGACATCTGCTTCATAAGGTGGCTGTGGTGACTCGATGACCCCTGTGTGCACAGTGCCAGTCCAGTGTCAGGCACAGAGCAGGCATGGTGGTGGTGGGCACTATCGCTGCAATTCCATCTGGCTGCACGTTCTCTCATATCCACTTGCCACACTGGCAGCTGTGAGTGATTCCCTTAAAGGAGAACAAGCACCGCCTATAGACAAAATTAAGTTTTTGTTCAAAACCACCACTGGTCTTTACCTTCCTCACCTTCAGAAGCCTGAATGTTGTACCTAGGTATTTCACCATCTCAGCAGACTGATACCCACCTCTGTACCGTGAACCATCAGTCTCAGGGGTCCACAACATTCTCCTCCCTGAAGCGGCCTGGCAGTCACACCCCTGCAGACGTGCTGAGCCATCTGCTCCCTGTCCCGTCTGAACTCGTGCACTAGAGGACTGCAGCCCCGTTTCATCTTTTCAGTTTTTGTAAAGTGTTATGTGTCTGCATTTGTAACAATTTGCAGCAACAGAAGATCTGGGGAGAGGATGAAGGGCGCCTGCCGTGGCTCAGCTCAGTTCAGCTGGGCGGTGCTGCCGATGTTGCCTGCACACCGTGCTGGAGGCAACCACACAATCTGTGGCTGTCCTCTGAGCAGGTTAGCACCTTTGAGATGAAGGGCTGACTGGAAGCAACACCTTAACACCTTTTTCTGAGTGTGGCCAGTCATTCCAAGAAAAGAGGCAGCAAATTTTGGTTTCACCCAGTGTAGAAGGCTCAATTCTAGCTGGGCAGGTAGTAAACAGCCCATTTATTTTCTTTTTTGCAGTAAGTGGTAGTCCATAGTGGTATTGCATTTGGGGGGAGGGTCTGTCATAAAGCTGGCTGGTTTTCAGAGCTGGGAAGAGACAAGCAGCCCCTGAGCCTTTTGTTTCTGACCCTGCCTGTGTTTGGGCTGCTCTGCTGCACGGAGTTCACCGTATTGTGTAAAATTAAACAGCCAGCGTGCCGTCTTAGAGAATCATGGTAACAAAACACAATGGATTCCTACTTGGCCGTTCTTATAAATACTTGCTTAGGCTGTTGATTTTTCTGAAAACAATTTTTCTAAGACTTTTTACTCTGTATGATAAATAAGCTTTTTAAAAGAATAACAACCATAATACTCATAACAATGTCCTGTATTGTATGTTGTTTTAATTTTCAGAGGTTTTAATACTTGTTCTTTCCTTGACGTCCACTATTGTACTTTTGCAGTGAGGAGATTGTTGCCTGGTTTCCCTGGGGACAGGCATTTTCTGCCAAAACTAAGATCTGAACTAAGGCCACCTGAATTTCATAGTCCAATGAGAAGCCAATTTTCACATTGACAAAGTTGCTTTGTGGGTGAAAAGCTGTGGTCTTTAAAGTGAGAGTTTCTGTAAGCCTTTAGAAATCAAGGTGGCGGTTAAACTAACGTTCCAGATGCTTTAGATCTCATTTGCTTGTCAAGAGACCCTAGGAAGTCCTGGTATGGTGGGAGGCCGGGGTGGGTAGATCACCTGAGCTCAGGAGTTCTAGACCAGCCTGAGCTAAAGCAAGACTCTGTTTCCACTAAAAATAGAAAACCAGGCCAGGTGTTGTGGTGGCCACCTGTAGTCCCAGCTACTTGGGAGTCTGAGGCAAGAGAATCACTTGAGCCCAACAGTCTAAGGTTGCTGTGAGCTATGACACCATGGCACCCTACCAGGGGCGAGAAAGTGAGACTCTGTCTGGAAAGAAAGAAAGAAAAGAAAGAAGGGAGGGAGGGAGGAAAGAAGGAAGGAAGGGAGGGAGGAGAAAGAAAAAAGAGAGAGAGAGAGAGAGAGAGAGAGAGAAAGAGAACCAGGAGATTGCATAGAGGATGAAAGAGGGGCATAAGGATGCCCAGAAGGTCAGCTGAGTACCAGGTGCAGGTGACCTGTCTGGTTAGAAGATCACAGGCCTGTAAGAGGGAGGGCCTCAGACAGGAGAAACTGGTGGAAGTCCCATTGTGCCTGAATATGTGTGGCAGTGACTCAGATAACCCTGTGGCAGTATATTGGTAACAAAATGAAACAAATGGAAAAATGAGATAATCAATTCCTAACTCCAAGATAAAGGAAAAGTTGTACAGAATATGAAAAGGTGTGTATACGGCTCAGTTATGTGTCGTGTGTGTACGCAGGTGCACACAGCAGAGATGCTAACATGTATCTATGCAGGCGTGTGTTCACGTGCACTGCGCACATGTTCACGTGTGTGTGCACATACAAAATTAACTTCACAGTGTTCATACAATGCTCCCAGTGATGCAGGGCAGAAATCAGATTTAGGTAATGCAGCCTAGGAGGGTGTGACCAGGGCCAGTGGGTAAAATTGTCTGGGCAGCTAATTTCAGCTGAACGGAAAAATAATTTGAAGAACTTGAAAAAATAGTACTTCCTTTCATGTGGAACCAGAAAAACCCCTGAATAGCCAATGTCATTTTAAGAAATAGAAACAGATCTGGAGGGATGACGTTACCAGACTTCAGGTTATACTTCAAGTCTACAGTGATTAAAGCAGCACGGTTCTGGCGCAGAGATACAGACATAGACTGTGGGACAGAATGAGAGCCCAGAGGTGAGCCCAGCCACATAGTGCCACCTGATCTTTGATAAACCAAACACAAGCATGCACTGGGGAAAATAATCCCTATTTAATAAATGGTGCTGGGAGAATTGTGTGGCCACATGTAAAAGACTGAAGCTGGACCCACACCTCTCATCATTGGCAAAAATGAACTCTCATGGGATGAAAGAAATAAATCTAAGATGTGAAACAATAAAAATTCTAGAAGAAAATGCAGAAAAACTTTTGATGATATCGGCCTGGGTAAAGATTTTATGAAGAAGACTCCCCTGGCAATTGTAGCAGAACCAGAAATAAATTAATGGGATATAACCAAGCTAAAAAGCTTCTGGACCATGTACTTTCTGGACAGTTGAGGGTATTACAACTAAAGCCTTCAGGACAGGAGAAGATATTTGCATGCCATGAATTTGACAAAGGGCTGATAACTAGAATCTACAGAGAACTAAACTGATCAACAAGAAAAGAGCAAAACTGAGTGATCTGGCTGGTGACCTGTAGAAGACTAAAACTGGACCCACACCTCTCTCCATTAACTAAGACAGACTCTCACTGGATTAAAGATTTAAACTTAAGACATGAAACTATAAAAATACCTGAAGAAAGTGCAGGGAAAACTCTTGAAGAAATTGGCCTGGGCGAATATTTTATGAGGAGGACACCCCAGGCAATAGAAACAACACCAAAAATAAATTACTGGGACCTCATCAAATTAAAAAGCTTCTGCACAGCCAAGAACACAGTAAGTAAAGCAAGCAGACAGCCCTCAGAATGGGAGAAAATATTTGCAGGTCATGTCTCCAACAAAGGTTTAATAACCAGAATCCACAGAGAACTCAAACGTATTAGCAAGAAAAGAACAAGTGATCCCATCTCAGGGTGGGCAAGGGACTTGAAGAGAAACTTCTCTGAAGAAGACAGGTGCATGGCCTACAGACATATGAAAAAATGCTCATCATCCTTAACCATCAGAGAAATGCAAATCAAAACTACTTTGAGACATTATTTAACTCCAGTAAGATTATCCCATATCCCAAAATCCCAAAATCAGAGATGCTGGCATGGATTTGGAGAAAAGGGAGCACTTCTACACTGCTGGTAGGAATGCAAACTAATATGTTCCTTTTGGAAAGATGTTTGGAGATCACTTAGGGATCTAAACATAGACCTGCCATTCAACCCTTCAATTCCTCTACTAGGTATATATCCAGAAGACCAAAAATCACATTATAACAAAGATATTTGTACCAGAATGTTTATTGCAGCCCAGTTCATAATTGCTAAGGCATGGAAGAAGCCCAAGTGCCCATCAACCCATGAATGGATCAATTATTTGTAGTATATGTACACCATGGAATATTATGCAGCCTTAAAGAAAGATGGAGACTTTACCTCTTACATGTTTACATGGATGGAGCTGGAACATATTCTTCTTAGCAAAGTATCTCAAGAATGGAAGAAAAAGTATCCAATGTACTCAGCCTGACTATGAAACCAATTTATAGCTTTCATATGAAAGCTATAACCCAATTATAGCCCAAGAAGAAGAGGAAAGGGAAGAGGAGGGGAGGGGAGAGGGGAGGATGGGTGGAGGGAGAGTAATAGGTGGGACCACACCAATGGTGCATCTTATAAGGGCACATGTGAAAATTACTAGGTGTAGAATATAAATGTCTTAACACAATAACTAAGGTTATGAAGGCTGTGAAGGCTATGTTAACCAGCTTGATGAAAATATTTCAAATTGTATATAAAACGAGTGCATTGTACCCCATGATTGCATTAATGCCACAGCTATAATTTAATATAATGAAAAAGAAAAGAGCAAAAACAAAAACCACCCATTTATAAATGAGCAAGAGAGATGAACAGAAACTTCTCTGAAGATGACAGATGAATGACCAGCAAACACATGAAAAATGTTCCTTGTCCCTAATCATCAAAGAAACACAAATAATTTTTGAAGTTTTTAAATATTTGAATGGGCATCTCTCTCAAAAATTAATTTACCATCACTAACAGGTGTTTGGCCAGGAAAATAGTAGAATAGAGAATGAAAGACTTGGACCTGAGTCAGCCTCACCGGGCTGCAGCCTTCACCCTGCCACTTCATAATTGTGTCATCTTGGGCAAAATAGGTGACCTCTCTAATCTTGGTTTTCTCTTTGACAAAGGGAGGATAATGATGTTCTCTGCCTACGGTGCTGTGATGTCTGATTGGGAGAAATACTGTGCTAAGTTAAACACTCGGCATGGGCTTGGCTTATAGTAAGTGTTTGATCCATAGTCATTGTTGTTAGAAGAAAATCTGGCCTTGGAGGCAAACTTGAACTTGATGGAATCTAAAACAGCTTCTAGCTTATCTGGGTTCAGGTGACATGGGGAGGGATTGTCATGTTCTTGGCAGATAATGATAATGTGATTGAAATGTCACCTGTGTGATATTTCAAATACGAGGTTTTGCTTTTTCTTTTTAAAGTTGCTCCAGGACAGCCTCAAAACTTATCGTGTGTACAGAAAGGGGAGCGGGGCACCGTGGCCTGCACCTGGGACAGAGGACGGGACACCTACCTGCCCGTGGAGTACACTGTGCAGTGAGTGAGGCTTGTATCGTCACAGCTGTTTCAAATGTCACCTCTTAGTAATATTTAGAAATATCAAAGTTTTGTTTTTACCAGAGAAGAGAAACAATAGACACCTCTAGACGATCAGATATACATATATTTTTTCTTCTTTTTTTTTTTTTTTTT